TTGCTTTAATTTCTTTTAAAAAATTTAATATCTTGACACAAAGATACTAGTACTGAACTTTTCTCTGTAAGTATTCAACATATTCATTCAGCTATTTAACCAGGATCATTTTTAACAGCACTCTATTGTAAGTGAAGATTTTTTCAGCATTTGGTGGAAAGAGAAGATTAGTGCAAGAATAGCAAAGTATTTACGTGATCTTTTGCAGGGATTAACATGTTCTCTGCATAAATTATTTCACTTAAGAATCATTATCATATTATGATCTCAGAACTAATTGCTACTCTGTGTGAGAAATAGTTTAGCTGCTTTTGATTCATTAGCCTGTGTTTGTTTGTTGCCTTCTTTTCTTAGAAAGTTACATTTCTCATGAAGCAAAGTGCTATTTCCCCTTGCACTTCCCATTCCTGTCTCTCTTTTTCTTTTTTCTCTTCCACATTTAGTTACAAAATGTGACTGGTGCAGTTGCTGTTTTGGACCCCACCCTTGGGGTTGCTACGCAGAGGAACGTGGTTGCATAAGTAACCTGTTACTGAACAGGCTACTGCAGCCCTAGTCAGCTACCTAATGACAGCCAAATCCTAAAGGAAGTAATTCCTACCATTTACTGTTTAGATCCAGACCTTTTAAACATGGAAAATGAAGCATTGAATTTGTTTTAAAATAACAGAACAAATAAAGAGAAAGAAATCTACCAGCAGAAACTAGTATAAAGCAAGAATATAAATGCCTGAAAGTAACTGTGAGACTAGTGATTCCTGAAAATGGAAAATGCAAGTGTTCTATTGTGGTTTTTCTTTCAGTTTTGAGGTTTGGGAATGTGGATTCAGTTTGGGTCCACCTCTGGCTTCTTGGACTGATTAGTCATTGACCTCAAATGAACTGCATGGATTTTGTGAGGTAGTTTCTAGTTTGTTCTGTGTAATAAATATTTGACTCTAATAATTCAGATCTTGACATTCCAAATCAAACTGATTTCTCCATCCCAGTTAAGTGGTATAATATAAATTACCCAAACTAGAAGCATGTGTGTAAATATTTGAAATAGGATAGTAATGCTTTCTGACAAATAGTACCACAGATTTGTTTGGTTATAAGTTTGTATGCATTTCTGCATGTTCTAGAGATTGTTATCAAACAGATCATTGTTTATTAGCACCATCTCAAAGTTGATAAACATTGAAATATTAGGAGATAATCATGTGAAGCTGCATGTTGGAAAGAAAAGAAGCAGAGAACAGAGCCTGGAAGGGTGGCGAGACAATGGGTATGAATTTCAGGTGAGCAGACAGGATGCTGTGAAAACAAAACTAAGGAGGTACAGAACTGTAGAGAGGCTAAAGGTGTGAAGTTAGGAGGCAGTGAAGGGAGCAGGTTTGCAATAGCTGATGACATTTACAAGAATAAATTTTTCCCTGTCATTAAGATCAGTGAAGAAAAGCTCTTTTGTTGTTTTTTTGGGTTCTGTCCAGGGTTGGCTTAGCCGTAGGGAGATAAGGTAGACAGTTACTCAACTGCTTGGCTGGTGGAAGCTGACAGACAGCTCCTTAAGATCTGCTTGTGTCCTGCCTCCCCTTTGCTTGTCCTCTTCTTGAGTGGTGGCTCAAGGACTGTGAGATGACCAGGCAGCAGGTCTTTGCCTCTTGTTGCACAGCCAGGAAGAGGTTGCTTTCCCCTGTTCTCACACACTGAGGGGCAGAAAGGACCAGGCAGCCCCGATAACCACCCTGGTTATCACCACCCTGAGTGGTTTTTCTCAGAAGCGGCTCTTATTGCCCATACCTCCCTCAGCTCCGTGGGAGCACACCCACTTCTTCCTCTTAGCCCTCCTGCTTCCTCCTTCCTCTTCCTCTCTGCTCCCCACTGCAACTTCGCATCTGCCTTTGCAAAGCTTTGAGCCGGCTTTGTGAAGCAGCTGCCAGGCTCGCTGGGCTAAGGGCCTTTGCTTTTGGAAATGACACCATCTGGCTGTGCACAGTGTATGGAGTTTATATTTAGCTCACCTTGCATCTGGCATCTGGACTTTATTCTGTGTGCTTGATGAGACCTGATTGGAGCATTTTCTTTTGTGGATGATATTCTGCATAATGTATGCACTGCTAGTTCTCAGTAGCCACAGTGAATAATGTTCCTTAAAAAGAGTTGAGTTGTTCTTTCTGTAGAGCTGTTGTTTCTGTTGGTGAGAGCTGCATGCAAGGTGACATTTATTATTGGTGTTTGTCAGAAATATCAGACACACACAGAGCTTGTAAAGAATGTTTTGCCCTCAAAATTAGATCATTTATAAATATCTGCAAAAATTGACTAATATATGACAGATCCAGCAATACTGAGTAATCTGTTATTAAATTATGTTGTGGTATATAGCTGTATGTATTTTTTTCTGTAAAAGAATCTTTGTCTCAGCTTCAGGATATTGAGTGCACAAGGTACCATGCTGCCTGAGGGCCAACAGAGGGTGCTGGAGTGATGCAGCTCTTACCTTCCCTCAATTTTGTTGTTTCTGGAGAACGGGGCGTGTTTTGACAAACTCTTATTTGGGATATCTTACTGTACAGCTATGAAGTTACTGCATTTTTTGTATATTTAGTATAATAATTTTGATACTTCTAAAGATTATTACATGTTATGAAGACTGCATATTTAGCAATAATATCTACAAGAACAATGTGTACCTACTAAAGGCATTTCAAACTTTACTGCTAAAAAGATACAAATACAAATGCTCCTTTTTCAGAATAAAAAGTTGGGCACAGTGGAAGTATCTGTTATTTCTGTGACTTGTGTACATATTGTATATATATTATATAATGAGGCTGATGTAGCAAACCACAGATCTATGAAAGTCATGGTTTGATGTAAATAATACCTGGGTAGAAATACTATACTTACAATAGAATTGTTCAAGGAGAATGAATAAAAAGTTAGATAGCATATGACAAATAATTGTGCAACACTTCACATTTAAATGAATTATTTCCATACTGTACTTTATTTTGGGTTCCTCATTTTTATCCTTGTTCAGGGTCTGATTTTCTTCAGTTTGTAGAGGAGACTGTGCCCTTTGTATACTGGACTGAAAAGGTGGTGTGTCTGCAAAGGAATGTAATGTTTGGCTTGAGATTGCTTGCTTCAGGTTGTCCCTGTTCTTTGAAGTAATGTCCATGAAAGTCAGTAATTACATTGTGTCAAACAGTGTCTGGTATGGAAAGCTCTTCCTCCCTGTCCTCCTGACAATCCTCCTCCCCCAGAGCACAGGGTAATGGCTTCAGGTTACCAGAGACTGAAAAGTGCATTTTGTGACAGGGATTTGCAAAACTAGGTGATTGCTTCTAACATGCAGTCTCTCCTTACTGACAGATGTGATGTATGATGCCTAAATCTGCTGTCTTGTACTGACAATGATAACCTGAAGTATTCCATCTAATTGGGATTTTCTTTTATGATTCTAAAACTTGATAACCCATTTTCGTCCAAAATTCTTGTATGTCTCTGACAGCATCTCACAGGAGATGAAAATAGGGTGGTTTCAGTAATCTGTCAGATCTACTGTCTGTCATTTCTTACATTACAAAACTAAAAAGTATCTAAAAAATGGAGCCTTACCTTTAATATGCATCTGGAATATAACATAGAAAAAGGTACCCAAATCTGCAGAAATTTTGAATGTGCATATCTGAGCTGTGACTGCCCTGTCTTGTGAATGACTTTACTCAGATGCCACAGTTAGATACTCTTAATGTTCAGGAATCCTGATAAACATTATAGAAAAGAATTATTCATGCTTACAGCAGTGCTGCTTTAGGTGTGGACAGAGGTATTACTGTGTTTTCATAGACATAGCTGCAAAGGGCTATCCAGAAGGATAAAGGCACTGAACAGAGATATCAGGGTGTATAACCCCTTTAATAATGAATGCTGCAGTGGCAAGGGTGGTTCCTGTTGTCAGAGGAAGGGTGGGGAGAGGAGACAGGTTGTAAAACAACCCCTTATGAGATAGGTGACTACTCAGTATAATTTGTTAATATCAGCTCAGTAGATCTTTTAATTACATGCTCTGTCAAACGTTTCACAGAGCTGAACAAGTCGAGGGGGAGATGGACTGTCCTATTTGCTGCCATGAATCTGGAGTATCTCCAGATTCACTTGGGTGGAGATACACTGTTGAAGAGGCTGCTCTGACAGCACTGTGGCTGTCCAGAGAAATGTGTCTCTGTCCTTGGAGATATTCAGTGCTTTGGTTGTAAAGGCCCTCTGTAACTGCACTTCGTGTCCAAGTTAGCAAAGAAGGTGTCTTACTCCTTGAGCTCACAGAGAATATACTCAGGCTGCTTCACAGTAACAAGACTCAACTTGGATTTGGTAGTTCAGCATTATGGGCCTCCAGGCATACTCATCATGGGACGGTGCTCTCCCTCTGAAGTGTGCTATCTGCATCTGCTGCCTGTGGTTTTGCAGGTGGTAGTCTCAACTTCTGAGCCTTTTGGCAGCCTGTATTTGCACCAAACAGGAATATAATGTTTCCTGTTCTGATAGGGACCTCGCTGTTATACCCAAATAGATACCAAAGTGCACTCCTGCTTCCGGCAATTTTTTTCCCATAGGCACCATTCTGTTTACTTCTGTGCAAGGAAATCCAGTATAACTCAGTTTTTGCTGTTGCTTATAGTTTCTGACCAAAAATCTACAAAAACAAGGTCTAGTTTCAAGTCTAGTTTATAGTTCATATTGTCAGTGTAAAGAGAAGTTGTAATTTTAAAAATTTACAACATGTGTATATAAATTTTTATTCTTTTATGTTTCTATTCAAGAACATGAACTGATAAGAAAGCATGCAATAATTATTTTAATAGCATCTGTTATGAAATGTTTGGTAGATAAATACAAATTTTAACATCATGCTTTAAGACATGGATTTGTTTTAAACCTTTTGTTTAATCTGGGAACAGTGATATATCACATTATCCAGGTGACTGAGGGTTGGCTGTTATTTTTCCTAGGTAGTTGTGATGGCTCACAAAGCAAAACAGTGATCTCCAGGAAGCAAGCAAGATAGCATCCAGACTGCTTGCAGTTAACCCATCTCTGCCTGAACCAGAAAACTGTGAAAATTACATTGCAGAATTAAAGCATTAAGAAAGATCACTGCTGGAAACTGTTGCTTCAGGGAAAGGTAAGATTTTGCGTTTATTATCCAGTCATTATGGATTTACATGAGATTTTTCTGGTAAGACTGATAATAAATTCTTGGTATTAATGCATTTGTTTTTTTTAATAGATTTGGCAACTATTCTAAAATTTTTAGTAAGTAGCTCAAAGTCTTTTGCATAGGTGTGAAGAATATAATACAAGCAGATTGGTATTTGGAAGCTCATGTATATGTGGTTCTTACCAAAAAAGATTCTGACCATAAATTTAAATATTTGGCAATGGCAAGTTTTGGGTTCTTACGGCCTGAGTTTAAAAATGAATGATAGAGCTATAATAAAACCATCACATGTGACAAGAGACTGTGCATACTTTACTACAGGTATTTGTAGAAACTTTGTCTTAATGTTGTTGAAAACTGGCAAGCCATCACCAGGAGCTGAAGAAACCTGTGGCTTTTAATGAATCTGATACAGTGCAAGTGTTTAGTTAAAGCCTTCCTGGGGCTGAAATTCCTTATAGCAAAGAGCTGGCTATATTTGGTTTTGTAAATGCTGATACATTGCTGGAAAACAGATGAACAAGCATTTTGTACGTGTACTAATTAAAGGATACAAAATAGCTGCAATTGCTGCCATGCATTTATATACCAAGGAGCCAGGGGAAAAATATACAGCAACATGAGTACATCAGTGTCCTTTTGAACAAAACAAAGCCCTTTTTTTCCTACTAGAAAGAGGGTTATATTGGTTTTAAACTCCTGTTAGGTTGTGTTCAGTCCTTCTGTTATAAAAATAAGATTTCTTGGAGACAATTAATTTTGCTGTGTAATTGGCTATAATCTGCATCAGATTTCATTGTTAGCAGAATTTCTCCTGGAGTGCTGGCTTCTATAGTGCTCCCAATTCTACTTCAATGTGGGGTGAAACATTTTCTTTTGCTTTTAAAGAGCAGTACTGTAAAGACTCGTGACAGGGTCACAGCCTTTTCAATGCAATAGTTATGTTTTCTTTGTTGATTGCTTAAATACAGATCTTTCAGCTTTCCTAGATTTTTGGATTATGGTTTTCAGTACATTGGAACAATTATTATAAAGCCATTTATATTGGTGCTTATTTTATTTTGATGTAGTGTGGTTTTTATCCAAGACAGTGCAAATCAAAGCAAGTAAAAGGATGCATTTAGTCTGTAGAGCACAGAGATCTGTAAATGTGCGATATGTGTTCTGGACCTTTATGATCACTGTGAAGATGGTTATTTTCATTGCCTAGAGATAAGCTTTCCTCTATGCAATGAGATGTTTATCTTATAGCGGACATGAAGATAGCTCCATTTGGCCAAATCTGTAAGTTTTCTTTGGCTCGAGGTGGGGCTCAGGACACATCTCCAGAGCAGCATGTCCCGTTTCAACCTGGTGTGTCATTGGAGCAGTAGGAAATTCCCATGACAGTCACTGAAGGGTGTAAGGGAGATATCTACCTCTTGTAGAGCAGTGCAGCTCCAGGAGTCCAGAGCACGATCTCCAGTGCTCCAGACACAAGGCTGAGCACGTATCACTGCACCATGTGAGCCAGGAGGGAATGAGAGCCTGGTGACTCTGGTCTGGAAAAGTACAGCTATTGGAATAACAGGCTGGTAAGCTGGGAAATGCAGGAGCTGTTTCCTAGACTACCTTGCAACTGTAATTCTAAGACCTCCAGGTTTAAGCAAGCTCAGAAAATACTACATCTGACCACTTCAGGATTAGTTTACCTGTTTTACTGTGCCTTCAGAGAACTGGTTATAGTTATGCTTCTCCTTCATGAAGCAGTTTGAGAAGATACACCCTCTCAGCAGTTAAGCTAATTGCTTCTGAGTGGAAATGGTATCTCATGGCACCAGTCTTCCCACTCCAATGAATACAAATTTGGCATATTAGCAGGTGCCTTGTAAGTGTCCTTGAATTCAAAGAAGGAACGATGTGAATATATAAACGTATTTGTGGGCTTTTACTTTCTAAAAGGAGATGAGACCAAATGGCATAATGGGCTATTGTGAAATCTCTTCTACAGTTTAGAAAAACTCCCAGGGAACTGAGGAACTGATTTAGTTTCATTTAACTAGAGCAGTGTTGGTTTTTAATCACACTGGTTGCATGTCAGAAAAATTAGCAGTACTGAAAACTGATGAATGTGTGACCTATTATCTTCCCATAGATCTCTCAGGTTCTGGAGGATGATAGTGCTGGCCTCAACAAGAGAGTGTTAGAGAGAAGGGAGATAATATCCGGTGCTACTCAGAAATACAACTACCTTATTTTCTCTTATTTATTTTAATACTTCACTGTAAATTTATGCTATTTGTTTTATCTGATGATATTTTAATAGTATATCTGTTGAGCTGTAGATTGAACTCAATTAGCTCTGTGCCTTTGGCTTTTAGAAGTAACAAATGAAGACTGTATTTAGACCCAGCAAGGCATGTGACAAGCTATCTGGCAGTAATCTAGGAATGCAATTAATTGTGTTTTGTTATGCACTTGTTTGCTAGGCTAGAGTTTTAAAATTTTGCAAGGTAGAGACCTCACAGGACATAAAAGTTCAACTGTGGGTTTTTTTTTTTGTTTGTTTGTTTTTTTTTTTTTTTTTACTACTTTGGCTTCATTTATCAGAGTTTTTAAAAACTCCATAATTTCTTAATTCAATTAATTGTGAAGCCTGTGTTACGTAGGAAGGTCCTTATTTTTTACTTAAGGTCTGATAGCAAGCATGGGTTTACTGAGTGTGAAAGGAGAGTGCAGATCCCAGTAGCTGTAGGTTCAGGAAATTCTCCATTTTGATTTCCCTTCTTGGAAGGCCTGGCTCTGTGGAAGATCCAGTTCTCTAACTGCCTAAAATATGTACATATATACATGGGCTATAGTACTTCACAAACTGGAGAAAGAGATATTTAAATAGGTCAGGAAAATAAATGAGAGCTAAATGCCAAAGAATTGAGATGGAACAGAAATATAGCAGTAGTTAAAAAAAAAAAAAAGCAAGCAAAAAAAGCCCCAGAGAATGAAGAACTAAAAATAGATTTGTTTTGTTATTCTTAGGCATTCCTGCTGGTTGCATAGAAATCACTGAACTTAAAAGGTCGTGCTACCAATGCTCAGTACCTTTCAAACATTCATTTTAATCTAGTGCAAGGATCCGAATGGAGACTGACACTTGGAATTTGAGAGAGGCAATATAATTTTTTCCTAATTAAATATGTCAGTGTTCTAGCTTGAAATCTGTTCTGGGAAGCATATCAGCATCATGCATCATGTTGAAGCCAACAGTATTGATACTGACCTGAATCACGTGATATTTTAGAGCTGATAAGGATTATTGAATATTGTCTAAGAGTGGATTTTGGTTTTCCTTTTATGTTACAAAACTGTAATTTTTCAGGAAAGGAGTTTGTCAATATTAATTCCAGAAGAATTCTTAGAGAATCTCTATAGCTATAAGATGTGTGAGTGCTTAAGTAATTTGGTTTTTGCTTTAGCTTTCTGGTTTCTTAAAAATGGAGATGGGTGGGGAATAAATAAAAGAAAATATTTTTCTTTAAGAGTGTGCCTGGCATCAAAGATATCACAAATAGGCAGCAATTCTTATTGCAACAGCAAATGCTCAAAAAAGAAAAAAATCCTCACAAGATTAAAAACAAAATCACAGACAGTATTCTATTATTTCCAAAGTAAATATTTTACCAGATAGGTTTTTGATATAAGGAACAAGATGTGCAAGGAACAGGATGTGATAAATATTCAGTACAACATTTTAAACACATTTTAAACATCCTGGCTTTTCCCTGGTTATATTTAGATAAAGCTTAAATGGTTCCACTCAATGTTGTTTTGCTTTGATTAAAACAGACAACATTTTACCCATGTAGGTGGCTTATTTGGGGGCTTTTTTTTAAGTATAAGCATTTTTTTCTTGTACATATAGTAAAATAAGAAAAAGGTTTTCATCCTCCATTTCCCCTTACCAAGAGATGAGCTAAAAAGTCCAAAGGTACAGATATACTACTTTTTCTTTCAGTGCTGATGTGCTATTTTGGAATATGTGCTGACCTACTTTTTGTGCTTCCAGAAAGCAAGCTGAAAAATTTTTGCTTAGGCTGCAGACTTAGATTTATTTTTCAGGGTATTTTTGTACATATTTTCATGCAGATATGCACACACACATTGGTAATGGGGGGGTTGATGTACAACAGCAAATCAAGATTGCCAATTTTGGTACAATTTCAAACTATTAGCAGCAGAAATCTGCTGCTAGACACCTTCCTTAAAAGGATTTGATAGGAGAATATTTTCAACCTAGTGGTGCCATTATTTACAGTTACATCCTAAGATAGGAAGTTTTCACTTCCCAGCTTCAAATAAATTTGATACCTAAACAGAATAATCCAAAATTGCAGTGAAAAATGCTGTAAGAATCTTATGTTCTATGTTTTACAGTTTTTTCAGCATTGTCTTAGACATTGGAAGATAAAATCCCTTTGAATTGTTTACTTTCTCTCCATGCATCTCTTACACAGCACTCTGACCATCAAGAAAGTTTTGCTCATTAGTTTGCCATTCCCAATTAAAATAATGATACATAAAGCTTTGGAATTGTATGAACAAATTAGGAGAAAACAGGTAATGAGAGATGAAGCCCTGCTCCATCCACTGCTTAGGGCAGAAAAAATTTGTCAATCTCGGCAACTCTGTGCTCACTTCTGAGCTTTCCCCAACAGAGTGAGCTCTTTTTTAGTGTGTTGTACTTCACTCACAATTACTGTAGTGTAGAAGGTCTTGGTGTGGCATTCTTCTCATCTAACCTGTGTGAGAATTCGAAAGGTAATTATCTGTAAGTCTCAGTAAAAGGCTGCAGTTGAGGAGGAAAGACCATTTTCCCTCTCCTCAGGCAGAAGAAATTAATTCTTCCTTGCAGAGGTACATCCCTGTCTCTCTGTTAAATACAGATGGAGTTTAGACTTCGGCAACTTAATGTTGGAATGTGTGCAGCT